CGTAAAGGAGAAAGCCGTTACCAAGGGCCAGTTAGTGTCCGGGAAAGCCAGCACTGTGGTAAAGCTGGCTTCAGGAAACAGTCATTATCAAGTAAAGTCAGTATCAAGAAGTAACTGTCAGAGAGAAAGCTGGGGGCGCGGGGATGGGGGTGGGAGGCAGGCTGGCATTGGGAAAAAGCGGCATTAGGGGAAAGCCTGCATCAGAAATGTAGGCATCAAGCCAGCGTTAGGGGAGAGCCTCCTCAGGAAGTCAGGGTCAGAGCGGAAAGCTGGTATCTGGAGAAAACAGGCGTCAAGGGAAATACAGCATGGGGGTGGGGGGATTGGGGTGAGGAGCTGGCGAAGATAGCAGAGGGAAGGCCAACATCAGAAAAGCTTGTGTTGGGGGAAGGCCACTTTCAGAAAGACAGTGTTGGGTGGCGGGAAGCTGGCATCGAGAAAGCCAGCGTCAGAAAAGCCAGCGTAGGGAAAGCTGGCGTCGGGGGTGTGGGGCTGGGGGAGAAACAGTCTTGATGAGAAAGCCTGCTGAGGGAAAGCCTGCGTTACAAAAACCTGTGCCACAAAAGCAGACATCTGGGTAAAGCCAGCGTCATAAAGCTTGCGTTGTGGAGAACGCCAGTAAAGGGAGGGGGGTACAGAATCAAGGGAAAGCCAGCGTTGGGGAAAGCCTGTGTCAGAAAAGCCGACGTTGTGGTAAAAGCGGGGTCAGAAAAGCCAGCATCCAGGGAAAGCCAACTTCCAGTAGGCAGTATTGGAGAGAAAGCTGGTGTCCGGCGGTGCGAAACTGCCGTTGGAGAAAGATGTGGTTCAGGAAAGCCTGCTGAGGGAAAGTCTGCGTCAGAAAAGTGGGTGTCAGAGGAAAGCCAGCGTGGGTAGGGGGGCTGGCTTCTGGAAAGCCAGCGTCAGGAAAATCAGTGTTATGGAAAGCCAGCGGTGGGGGTCGGGGGCTGGTGTTAGTGGAAAGCCGCCGGCGGAAAGAAAGCCAAAGCTGCCGTTGGGGAGAGCCAGTGCCAGGAAGTCAGTGTCCCAGGGAAAGCCAGCGTCAGGGGGAAAGCTGGCCAGCGAGGGGAATGCAGGTGTTAGTCAGTGTCCAGTGTCTGGGAAAGCCAGCTGCAGAGGAAAGCCAAGATCAGAAAGCCAGTGTAAGAGAAGGCCAGCGGCGGAAGGAAAATTGTCTGAAAGCCAACAGCTGGGAAGTCAGCAACCAGAAAGCCAGCTTTGGGAAAGCCATTGTCAGGAAGGGAAGCTTGTTGGGAAAGCTATCTCTGGGAAAACAGGAGCGGCGGGAGCAGGGTGGGGCAGAGGAATTCACGAATTTTTCAGAACTTTGAAAGCATCATGGGGGGAATACATCTCCCCTACCAAAATCTTAATTTTCCATATCCCCTCCTCCCTTTAGTCACTATACTTTCACACACACACACACACACACATACACACACACACACACACACACACACACACACACGTGTTAATTTAGATGCTGCGTAAGAGGAAACATGCTATTTGTCTGAGTTTTGACTTATTTTGCTTAACTTCTTAATGTTAGTTTCTATGGATTATTTCAAATCCAATCTTGATTTCTGCCTCCTATTTGATTCCATAAAAAGAGGGAGATCTTTAAAGGTATTGGATATGTCAGTAAAAATGTGAAAGTACTATCGTGTAAATGTAGAGTTTGTTTCTTCATATTTACTTGAAGTTCACTTGCTTTTCAAAGGGCATATGGAGTTCGGAACCCTAATCTCATTGTAATAGAGAAGCTGAATGTCTTGTAGTCAGTCCAACCATGTTTCTCTGCTCCTCCAATTTTCTAATCATCACTTCTTTCATGACCACTTGAAAATATTCCATTCCTTTATGTGGAAATAGTGACATTTTTAAAAATCATGTTAAGTAAAATTATATGTTAGTCATTTTGCAAAATAGTATTAAATGAATAAAATAAATGGCAGTGCTTACGTTTGTGGAGGTGAGAGGTATTCAAATACTGTATTAAAGCTTGGTGTGGTGGCCCTTGCCTGTAATCCCAGCAATCTTCAGGAAGAGGCAGGAGGATTTCTGAAAGCTTCGGGCAGCCCTGGTGCACACAGTGAATTCAAGGCTAAAATCAATAAGATATAAAAAATATGTTGCTAAAGGTTTAAACTACTATAGTTTGTGATATTTTATTAATTGCAGCTTTTTCAATCTTATTTTTCTCTTATCTCAGGCCTTGCAAGTTTGTTTTGCAAAATACTCATTCTGATATGTACCACCAACAAAAATATGCTCTACCATTACAGAAATATGGAAACTATTCTAATGAAGGTAACAGGATTTTTACATTGAAATTTATATTTTGCTAATATAGAACATGATAAAAGAGGAGTGCTTTCTCCAATTAAAAAAAATGCAGTATTTTTCCATCTAAGAAAAATACTTCCCAAAACCTAAGAAACCATCTTCAAGGTAATTAATGTGTCATACTTTGTCTCAAATTTAAATGTGAATGTAGTATTTTTGCACATAGAACTTTCCAAAACCTAAAAAAATAATGCCTCATACTCTTGTTTATAAAGAATAATAGTATGTATGTGTACTAATAATGGTAATCTATTCTTCCCTTTCAGAATTTTTTAATTTATTGTATCTCATGTTACCCATCAGTCTCTTGCCTGCTTGAAAATTTTCCACTTTTTCATTCATTCTTTTTGGTGTGTTTGTCATACTAGGAATTGAACACAAGCTCTTGCAAATGCTTGGCAAACAATCTACCATTGAGTTATATCACCAGTCTTTATTTTTTCCTTCTTTATGGAAACTCTCATTTGATAAGCATGTTTCCAGTATGATTCCAAAAAATAAGTACAAAAGCACAAGTTTCTTAAAAGTGTTACCTATAACAACAAATAAAATACCTAACTCTTGTAAGTTGGCTACATAAACATGTCAGTGTGAGCAGACACAAGGCCTGTTCTTTAACACAAAATTTCCACATTTTCTCAAAACCATTATAATAATTAAACTGTCATAATTATCATTCCTTCATGGCATAAGAGGCAGAGAGGAACCAGGATCACTGCATAGTGATGGTCAAATTAGCAGTCCTTTATTAATACCTGGTGATCAGTGAGGGGACTAATGCCCGAAAGAACTCTTGACCCTGAGGGGAGGAAGAGTGGCCATGAAAGGGTGGCAAAGGCATATTTGCTCTCTGTGAAGAAGTTCGCCTGTTTGTCCTTTCCCCAATGTAGAGCCTGGGTGAAAGCCATCAGATTACTCTTTTGTGTGAAGGTGTCCTGGCACAAGACTTGGGCACAAATGGCATCCTGTTAAGTGGTCATAGAGGCTCAGGCCTTCCGGGTCCCCTGTGTCATGAAACTGCTTCCATCCATGAATAAGTTGGTGTCTGCCTCATCTAAGTGTGTATCTTGGAGATCCGGGCAACTGGCCTTGGAGACATCCAGTAGATCATACTCAAGTAGGGTCACCTCCTGATTATTGTCAGGCATCAGCATTGCCAAGGTAAAGGTAAGACAGGGCTGATCAAGGAAGGAGAAGTCTCTGATGCTGAGTGGTTCAGGCATCTGGCATCAGCCATTCTCTACCCAGAAGAGTGTCTACATTGCATGGAGGGGGGTGTTAGTCTTGGCCCAAGGTAAACTTGTCAGACTCCTTCACCAGCAGGACAGTAGAGTGTAGACAGGAGGGCCCTCTTGAAGCTACTGGGTCTAGCTAGGCACTTGGATAAGTGTGCTATGGGCCTTTGCCAGGGTCCCCAAAGCTGAGTAAGCATGGCTTTTTCAATCCCCCAGTCTTCATGAATGAAAAGGTGGGCATCAGACAAGACCAGAGCCGGAGCTTCAGTTAGGGCCAAGCTTGTTGGAAAGCCTTGTTCCTCTATCTCTGTAGATTTTAAGCACTGGTCCCCAACAATTACTGAGCAGAGAGGTCTTGCTCAGCAGAGGGGTCCAAAGTTGGCAATATCCTGCTGCCTCCAGGAATTTGCATATCTGATTTTTTGTTCTGGAGCCAGAGGATCAAAAGGTGCCTGAAGAACCTCAGTGGTTTTGGCTTTGGGATGCACCCCTGATTCTCACTGTAGAAGAGTCCAGTGAAAAGTGTCCAATGATTGGGAGCAGCCAGGACCTGCAAGGGACTAACCAGGTTTACACTCATGTTGGGAATGTAAGTGGGAGGTGAAAGGAGGAGATGAAAAGACAAGAAAAAATTTAGGTTTCCAGGCCCTTTTGGTCCTGTGCATGTCATGAGGTCCAACTCAAGACCCTCAATCCCAGGTCCTGGATCTCCTGGCCATTGGTTGAAGTTAGGGGCAGTAGAGGCAGAGAGACCTTCAGCTCCTAGGAAAAAAAGAAGAGAGAAACCCAATGCAGCATACATGGGGGTGGGGGAAAGACAGTGGAACCCTCATTTCAAAGAAAGGTTTGTGTTGGGCATTTTTTCAAGGTACCTAGAGGTAGCAACAGAGCAGCCACAGGTCCTGCATGTCTCCTGTGGGGCCCTGACAGGGCTGGGGCTCAGGGCAGAAGGCAGATGAGGGAGGAGGGCCAAAGTTTGGTAGGGCACCTGCACATATTTATAGCATCTTGGGTAAGTAACACAGCACTAAGTAACTGGCACTGAGGGGAGATACCCCTGGACCTTCTTTCACAGTACAACTGGGGGTTGTTAGGGGTACTGATCTGCCTGCTGTAGACAAGGGTAACAGGAACCCTGGCAAGACAGAGAAGGTGATGGGCAAATGTCTTAGAATTTAGGGTACTGCCAGTACATGCAGGAGTCCACAGAACAGCCATAGTTTCACAGCAACTTTCAGTCAGAACCCAGGCCAGAACCCAAGGGACAAGTGCCCCCTGTAGACAGAAATGCAATAGCAATAGCTTTTGAACAATGATAGAATGAAGGATGAAAGACTTTGAAAATCACTGTATCCCACCAGTATTAGCAATTACTCAGTTTTTTTTCATTTTAATATTCCCCAGATCCATTTATGGGAAGTTCAAGGAGGACTGGGAAAACTGCCAGAATGGAAGGGAAGGGGCAGAAAGGGTGGTCTGAGGTCTGCCATGTAATCCATGGCTTTTCACGTGTATACCCAATCAGTCCTGATCAAGCCAGTAGGACTACAAGGTGAGAAAGTCTCTGACAAAGAACAGATGGAAGTATCCAACCCCCAAGATCAGAAGATGGGATAGATACAGGAAGGAAAAACAGCACTGTTTCATGCTTCACCTTCTAGCAAGGAGATTTATTTATAATCCTTTTAAAGTCCCATTACTATAAATCCGGGATGACACAGGAAATTAGTTCTCCCTCCCCTCTCCTTTAAGAATATAATCCTATTTTAAACAAACATTTTGCATCAAAGAATCGTATCTTTTTTTCTGATAAAGAAATCTAACCAAATTAAACCAAGCAAATAAAGTTCAAATTTTCTCTTCATAATTTACTATATATCCTCAAGTTGGACTTTACCTGTCTCCTTTTATATTCTGGTACAATCAGGCATTTTATTTTTTGGCAAAACTATTTTTTGCTTTTGAGACAGGATTAAAATTTAAAAACTTGAGGCTTTCCCCATACTCTATTCCATCCTTCTATACGAGGGTTAGTCCCAAATACACTAGTCTTACTATTCCTGCCTTCCCTGAGTTCCTGAGTAGCATATCTGATGATGGAGGTGGAGGATCAAATAGACATATTGAGCTGATTGAAAGTGAGTGGACTCCTTTTTTTCTTTCTAGTAATAAGGCAAAGTAGAACAGCATTTCCTTAAGAAGAGTCATCTAGAGATAAATGCCACCCCATGCCCTCAGAAGGGTGAAGAAAGGGGTACACGGAAGAGGGCCATAGAGAGTTCATCACCATCCTAACATCCAGGAACAGTATTTTCAAAGAAGAGAAATGAGTTTCAGACAGGGGAAATTCAGACTGATTGAAACCCATTCATTTTCCCCCTTCATTTTATCAGTACAGAAGGGGCAGAAGACAGGCTTCAGTGGGCAGCATCCTGGCTGTAAGCCTCAAGCTGTGTTCATCCCTTCTCCCCTTTCCCCATAGAAGAGGGCCTGGGGAGATGGGGGAGGAACTCAACCAGGGGTGGAAGATGGAAAGACTAGCTTTTCTTTGGGATGTATTAACTGACCATTAGGTTTCATCAACCCAAAGCTAAGAGTGTGTCACTCAAATTTTCTTTTTAAATAAGACCAGCAGACTGGGCAAGGTGGAGAAAAAGTGCCCCACAACAGCAGTGGCAGAAAAACCTCAGAGTAAAAGATTGCAGAAAACTTCAGAGAAAAAGGTTGCAGAAGAGAAAGAGCTGCTGAGAGGAGAGATGACAAGGCCGGGGCTACAGGGACAGGGGGAGAGGGAGTGTCCTGGGTGTGGGAGAGGGACAGAGAGAGAGGGAGAGAGAACAGAAACCTACAAAACAGCCTCAAGCCTGTGAGAACAGACAGCTGTTGTAAAGCTGCAGCAGGATGCAGAGACACAGAATTTACCAGACCTACTAATGTCCAAGGGCAGGCTAGTTTCCCAGTCTCCAACGAGAATTAGGGAGGAAGGAAAAACAAAAAGTCACAGGACAGCAGTTGAAAGAAACAAGGACATCCTCTCATTCCACAATAGACAAGACAAAAGACAAGACCCTCTGGATAGATGCTGTCCAGAGAACTTGCTTAATCCACATGTGCAATCACTCATTCAGTCATGTAATTATTCATGTACACAAAACAGATGTGAACAGAGACCAATGGTGCACCAAATTCTTTGCCAGACCTTTTCAGCCAACATCTTGGTAATAGAGAAAGGTCAAGAGAGGGTCTTCATCAAGATCACACTCCCGTTACTAAATACCAGACCAGACCAGAATGGAGCTCCAAACCAGAAATAACAGGACCAGGACTCGATCAGTTTTAGTTTGGGGATCATACAGCTGTCATTCTGGGACTGTCTGGCTCTGATGAGAGAATCCTGGGGCCCTGAAAGTTCTCAGAGGGCACCTCCCCTATAACAATTATTCAAGGTGAGAAGATCTAGAGCAAGACTGAGCCCCTGAGTGACAATCTCACTGGGGCCTCTGGACAAGAGGCAAAAAGGAAAGCCACATAGTGATAGTCGTATTAGAAGTCCTTTATTAATAGCTGATGGTCAAAGAGGAGGTAATGCCCAAAATAATTCTTGCCCCCCAGGGAAGGCAGAGTCAGGTTTACAAAGCTTCAAAAAAGCCAATAATCATACATTAGATCACCATAGTTACACAGGACCAGGAGCAGATCGGTTAACAAAGAGATTATCAGTTAAAAAAA